ATATGGATCAATAAAAAATCTAGATGCCCACCCCATGACTGCTTGAGGATTTGGAGGGATGTGCAGACACAAACTGTAACAACCTTGGTAAATAGTACATAGAAAACTCTACTGCTCTGCTCATAAGAAAGTCAAATGGCTAGGCCACTCGGAAACACACTTAAGTACTTTCTCATGTTGAAAGTATACTCACTGTATTAGTCAGCTCAGCCTGCTATAACAAAAGCCCATACAGTGGGTGGACTAAAGAACAAAAATGTATTTTTCACATTATGGAGGCTTGTAGGCCCAAGGTCAAGATCCTGCTCCTTTGTTTCTGCAGAGAGCACTCTTCCTGGCTTGAGTGGTCACCTGTTTGGTAGGTCTTCACAGCAGCTTTTGTCTGTGCCCGAAAGACTCAGAGATAGAGGACTTCTTCTACAGACAGGAGTTCTACTAGATCAGGCCCCAACTTTATGACTTCCTGTAACACTTCTTTAGGGGCCCTATTTCCAAATGTAGATATGGACTATGGCTTCAACAGATGAAACCTGGAGGGACACAGATATTCCCTCCATAAATGAGACTGTATGGCAATCAGTTTCACTCTTACATATTCAAATAAAATAGCGAGTTGTGCTCACCAGACCCTGCATACGACTACTACAGCAGCTTCATTCCTAACCCATCTCACTAGAAGCAGCCTCAATGTCCTTGAATTGAGAACAGATCGACTTGACAGTGAAAGGGAGCACACAGCTGATTCACATACACCAGTGAGTGTGAGGCTGAGGTGTGGACAGGCGTTAACTACAAAGAGCACTGGGAAATTCTCCGCAGGTGATTGTAATATTTGCTACCATGTTTGCGATGGCTTTTGTAGTACTGAGTGCATTTGTCAAAATCCATAGAACTACACAACGAAATGGATGGCTTTTACTGCATATTACATACACATAAATATTTTAAAACTAACATTTGTTCTCAGTGTTGTATTTGTGGGCATCTAATTTCACTATCTATGGTGCATATTTCAGAGAATTTTAAAGTATTTTATTATAATGAGATATTCAATATTAGTAAATACTCATTAGTTAACTAATTATAACTAAAGACTATTAATAATTTAGTTAATAACTAATGAGTATTAACTAATGTGCTCAGTAAGCACTGAGCTTGGTAGAAATATATAATTAATATATTATAATATATAGTTATAGATAGTTATATCTAATATATAATTATGTATAAGGGAAATTATGTATATGCATAATTTTCAATGTGTACACTTGTTTGAAATTTTTAGATCATGCTTTTCATTTAGAAATTCAAATCCTTAATCACCACTATTCATTTTGGATTACTGTAGTAGATAACTATATCTAATATATAATTATGTATAAGAGAAATTATGTATATGCATAATTTTCAATGTGTACACTTGTTTGAAATTTTTAGATCATGCTTTTCATTTAGAAATTCAAATCCTTAATCACCACTATTCATTTTGGATTACTGTAGTAGATAACTTCTGAGGTACACATGAGTATTCCAAAGTAGAAAGTTAATAAAATTCTTCTATTTAGAAGAGTTTTAACTACTTTCTTTTATGTTTATTATATTCTTCACAGTTTATTAACTGGTACAGTGTTTCTGCACATTAAATATTTTCATTTCACCAAGGCTCCCTTGCTCTCCCTCTTCTCACTGATTTCTGAGACTAAGAAGAGTCTAGGAAAGGGGAGGTTAAATAGTCAAGATTCCTGAATAGCTATTTGCAGAAGAACTGAACCTCGTTTTTGTCTTTTTGAGACAGGGTCTTGCTATGCAGTTCAGGCTGGCCTTGAGCTCACTTTGTAGCCCAGGCTGGTCTCAAACTCTCAATGATCCTCCTGCCTCAGCCTCCTCAGTACTGGGATTACAGGCGTGTGCCACCACTCCCAGCCAAAGAACTGAACTTCTACAGATCTTATTTTCTGTGTCTGGGCAGAATGCAAACAAGGAACACTTACCACACACACCTGCCTAATAAGGACCTCTGAGGGAGCCACCCTGGGGGCACCTTGAATTAGCAACAGTGCTCAGGGAAACCCTGGCTCCAGGAAGGGAGGATCTATTTACTGGGTCCCAATCCTCCAAGCTTGGCCCAGGGAGAGCCACAGTGTAGAGGTCCTCATCCAGTCTGAGGCAAGGTCGCCCAGTTCTCGGTTCCGGTGGCGAGTTTCCCCTCATCCAGGTCCAGCAGGAGCCAGCAGAGGTGGGGGTTCCATGAGAGCTTCTGATAAGGGCAGATGGCAGCAGGTAAGGGGCTGTGGAAGCAGGCAAGGGCAGCACTCCCTCCAACACAGCCTGACCCGCACACCAAGGGCAGAGTGACACTAGGAAAAGCAGGCCTATGAAATCCCGCTGCATCCATCATGTGCAAGGGGGAGGTGTCTCTTGGCCTGACACAGAAGCCTTTTGCTGTCAGGAAGTGCTGTCCACTTCAAAGACAGCAAGCACATCTCCAAGACGGAAATAGAAAACTGGGCGGTGGGGGGAATGAAGACAACTAGGTTAGCAGAGACTGGGACGTCGAGTGTAGGCTTGCATTGAGATTGACCAGAAGCTCAAAGCCAAGTGCTGAAATCCACCATCCCCAAGGGAGACTCCTCTGTCAGATGTGCCAGTCCCTCCTACTCTGCCCTTATTCTGCATCTTGGTGCCAGTGTTTCCCTATGTCCACCCACTGTGCCCAGCAATTGCATGCCGAAGATTTCTCAGAACATGATTCATTGGATGCCGCTCTGAACTCCATACAGGAGTTTTGACTTGGGCTTGAGGCCAGGGACGAAGCAGCCTTTGTTCTGAGGTTCAGGAGCGGAAACACTCAGCGATACGGGTGTGTCCAATGCTCAGACACAGACACAAACGTGTGACTCACAGACGGTAACACGTGTTGCTCACATCAACTATTTGAGTCACTGGCAAGTAATGTTTCTTGTCCAGACAATATGATTTCCAGCAACTGACACTCCAGGGCTTGCATATTTCACAGAATAAGTACTACAGCAAAAGAGCGTAGGATCATTTGAGCTTGATGTTTGCAGTTTTGGGCCTTATTGGCAATTACAACACAACAGCACAAATTCCTGATTACATCTGTAACCTTCTTTCTCTCTGATACACCCTATATGTCCTGAAGAAACTAATAGTAAAATCCAGGCTGAAGGCACTCTGCCTGTCTTGGTGACATACTGCACCAATCCTCTTTGCCCCTACATTCCTACAGTCCCCATTGCCTATGTACCATTGTCAGCATTTTCCAGCTTCTGTTACGGTGCTGTGCCTACTTGTGTTCTGAAAGTTAGTTCAGCAACGTGACTTCACGTGTGCACACTCTTCCTTTCATGTCACTACTTCATCTCTCACCATGGCCCTCATCTCCCCTTCCCCACGGTGATTACATCCAACCCTCTCTGCCAGAGGTCTCCCTACAACGCCCCCTGCCTCAGCCTCAGCACCAGCCTACTTCCCAGGGCAGTTGCTGCCTCTTCCCCAGCTATGAGCTGTGGCGGCGACAGCTTTTGTATGTCAATGCAGTCTGTTGATTTTTTTGCCTTTCTCCCCTTTTAAAATACATGCATACATAACTTAGGTTATATCCCTCTCTCTACCTGCTGCAATAATCATATCTTAGTGACCGCTAAAAGATGGAGGACAAACCACAAGGCAAGATGATCAAAGGCCATGAATTTTCAAAATTCAAAAGCCACAGTTAAAGTTAGAATGTTTATGATGTGACACACACACAGAATTTGCCAGTTGGTTATCTTTTCAATAAATGAGGCAGAGAGGAGCTAGTTCAGTGGTGGAGTGCAGGGGGTCACTTGTACAAGGTCCCAGGTTCCTTCCCAGCACCACAAAAAATAAGAACAGGAGCAGATTTTTTTCCAGCAAGTGATAGCTAATCAAAATAGAGCCTAAAAATGGCCAAGTGAATGGCTCCTGACTATTGGAACCACAGGCCCCACTCTAGGGAGTCTGATGGGGTGGTTCTCTTGCACCTAGGAATTGGGGCCAGCAATCACAGTTAGACCATGTGTCAAAAAAAAAACAAAAAAGAAAAAATACAGCTTCTCTCTCTCTCTCTCTCTCTCTCTCTCTCTCTCTTTCACACACACACACATACACACACACACACACACACACACACACATGAAACAGAAAGAAACTATTTGAGCTTGTTTTCAACTGTCATATGTATTGTCTTTGTGAATCTGGGCAAATTATCTAACTTCCTGAATCTTTAGTTGTTAATTATAATACCTTAATTTTTGAGTGCTATATCTTTCATTAAAAGGACTTACATATGATACCTAGCAAATAGAAGTGGAGTGAATAAAACTACGGCTATTAGTAATATAACACCACTGAAACTAACCAGACTTTGTCAGCACAATTGCACATAATTCACTTTTAGCTCATTCTCAACCAATGAATAATTGTTCAAAATTTTATCCAGTTTTGCTCAAATGTTAACATATGACTATGTTGTATGATGATACTTTCTTCCCCACAGACATGGATGGGCACAATCATACTATGGTCACAGAATTCCTCCTCCTGGGACTGTCTGGCCAGTCAGAGCAGGAAGAGGTGCTCTGCGGGCTGTTCCTGTGCATGTACCTGGTCACCATCATCGGCAACCTGCTCATCATCTTGGCCATCAGCTGTGACCCTCATCTCCACACGCCCATGTACTTCTTCTTGGCCAACCTCTCCAGTGTTGAC